ATAGGAGATAAGAAAAATTGAGTTTATCTATTATATTACTTTTTCGCACGCCCATGTCGTGAGTAAAAGTATTATAATCACTCTAAAACCTAGGTACCCCGAAAAACCATTTTTCTATCCATTTTCGACACAAAAAAGCACGATACAGTGGTTATTTTGCTATGTTAATGTGGGTGTGTCGTACCCTGTACGCTGTGCGCTGTACGCTGTACGCTGTACGCTGTACGCAAAAATTTGTTAGCACGATTGCTCAAATACCAGAATAGGAAACGAAATTCTGCAAGTACCAAACGTTTGTGCTTCGTTAGACTTGGAAACCATTAAATTTCCAGTCACCCCAGATGTACCCTAGGATACCTAGCCTATGAAAAACCTTAAAAAAATCGAACTTTTGTTCGGGAGGTACCCAAAATAGGCTACCCAGGTGGGTTTTATCATGCCCACCCTATTTATTTCATCAAAATAATAGGGGCCAGGAACAACCTAGCACCCGCCAACCCACCTTTTTGGTATTAAATCGGTATGTTAGTTTAAAATTCCTTGAAAAATCGAACTTTTGTTCGGGAGGTACCCAAAATGGGCACCCCAGGTGGATTTTATCACTCCCACTCAATTTATTTCATCAAAATAATAGGGGCGCAGGAACAACCTAGAACCCGCTAACCCACCTTTTTTTTCGTATCCAATCGGTATTGAATAGTGATTCTGATAGCGAATGTGATTAAAAATTGTGAATTGATGCGCCTCTGAAGTCTCATTTATTCTCAACAATGTGGATTTTCCCGAGTTGGAAGAGGATGGATTTTACTACGAAATCGGAGACTTGTATGAAACTACAAAGAATACAGATCTAGAATCAATCACAAATCAAATTGTTGGAACAGAATTCTTAAATGATTTGTCAATCGATATGTTCATTATAAATTTGGTGAACGCAAACAGAACCATACCATTCAATATGCATCCAGTCTGCTATGGACAAAAACAAGAGCGATACAAACGACTTTTGGCCGAACGAGACGATCTGCAAATAACATATCAGCGACCGGGCCAGCTTTCTTGGCCATTACACCACAGTTCACTATACAGTCTACAAGGGGAGGGCAATCATGGCAAAAGATTGGACGTATATCAACGATACATCCTCACTCGCCTGTACCCCGGAGCACAGTATCAATTCATTGAACCAGCAACGTTGCAACCAGATGGATGTTCCTGTGGTATTTTTTCGATTGCATACGCCACAACCATCATTTTGGGACACAACCCTGCAACATACCATCTAAAAATCAATCAGCACGAAACAGATAATTTAAAAAAGACCAGCGAACTACGAAACCACATCAAAAGAATATACGAAACAAACTACAGCTGTTTCCACAATAAATAATACACACATAGCATGTAGCAAAAGTGCCCCAATCATTAAATTCAAACATTGCCATCTATAATCTAGATCGAATATCAAAACATATTTATAAATACATATTTTACATACAATACATTATTTTATTATCACTATGACAATTTTTCACTATTCTCTTCCATCAAATATAATAAAAATAATTTTCAGTTGCAATTGTGTTTTTAAAGAATTTTTCGCAAACATATTTTAGTGAATATTTGACTTTAAAATGAAAAAATGTATTTGAAGAATGGGACGCCATCCGTTTGCCAGATTTTAATGCTTGTGTTACACATTAGCTCAATCTTACGGAGATTCATTGCATTCAAACAGCAGAAAATTCCATTTTCACTTACATAGCAAAATGTTTGTGGTGATTATTTGATTTTTTTTATGAATTAAAAATTTGTCGGTACTAATTTTGGTGCTGGTGAGTTTTTAAAACAATTAATTCAATATGAATCCGGAAAAACATTTTATTCTCACGATATAACTTTTCGAATTTGAATATGCGAAATTCGAACAGCATTGACATGTACTAATTTAGTTGTTTTGACGTTTTTTTGTTTGTAAACAAACTGAAATTCGCCGGCATTAAATTGGAATAATGTAAAACAACGTCTCGTTTCATTACCATCTGCAAATTTTATTTCAGAATCAATTTCTCTCCATATTTCGTTCACTTGGCAATATAAATAAGAGACATATTACATATTCACTGTCGGATTCCATATTGTTTATGTGGATTAGTATGCAGTCGTTGTTGATAAAGTAAACACTATAGCACGACACGACGCATTTATTTGACGTAATTACCGTGGCTGCTGTACTTTTCAACAGTCTGATTTTTTGTAGAAAGTCAATAAACAATAATGGATTTAAACATAAAACGGTGCTCAGCCTCCAAAAGATTGTGTGCCTTTCCAACGTGCAATAATAACGGCGACCTAAAGTATATACCAAAAGTAATTCGACACTGTGTTTTACACAATTCAAAAGTATACATTCCTGCTCGCACATTGGCATGCAAAATTCATTCGAATCGGGATGCCTGGCTGAATGTAAACAATTGCATTGAAAAAAATGAGTGTCAGTTTTCAAGAGAGCAAGTCGAAGACATGTTTGACCTTTTGATGAACAAAGAGCTAGTGGAGAAAATGCCAGCGATTTTAAGTAGACCACTTACATCTATTAATTTGATATATTTTGCGCTAATAATATATTCATCAAATATTTATCATAGAACAAAAGGACACAACAATCAAAATGCAAACGTCTTTAACAATTGTGCAATTTCATGAGCTTCTTCATGAGCTGCCAACCTTGCGGAATCAATTCACAAATGAAAGTGATGCGAGCGATACACTATTTATGTATTTAATGAAAATTCGAACGGGTGCTTCACACGCAGCAATTGGTTCACATTTTGTTTTGTCGAAATTCACCATCAGCCGAAGACTACAGATTGCGCGTACAGCCATGCTCAATGATTTTGTTCCCCGCTTCGTTAATTATTCCCGATCAAGAGAAGACATGCTCAATCATTCTACTCCAATAAGTCTAGGCCTTTATGATCCACAGCATATGGGTAAAGTGATTTTAATCGCAGATGGTACTTACATTTTTACTGAAAAAAGTGAACAGCATGAATTTCAAAAACGGTCTTATAGCTCACACAAAAAAAGGAACTACATTAAAATCATGAACATTGTCACAACTGATGGCACTATCCTTGGAACTTTAGGGCCGTTTGAAGCCAGACAGAATGATGCTTCCATCATGGAACAGATTTTGAATACAAACCCAATTATATTTGAACACATTAGAAAAGGAGATATTTTATTAGTCGACCGTGGCTTCAGAGATGTTGCTGCCACTCTGAGAAAGAAAGGATTTGATGTCCAAATACCTGCTAGTGAGCCAAGCAACAAACAGTTGTCGACAAAGAATGCGAATAATGCGCGTAAAATCACTAAACTTCGTTTTGAAGTAGAACATATTAATGGAATGATTAAAAATGTGTACCGTATTTTTCAATTAACTTATGAAACATATCTAATCCCCACATTGATGAACGACTACACAGTGGCAGCGGCATTGAATAATCGATACATGCAACACAGAAAAAACCATTCAGCTGATTTGCAAATTGCAAATTTGATGTTGGAACGGACGATGGTGGAAAATGTTGTGCACAAAGCAATTAATTCAAACCGATTCGCACACATTCTGCGTAGGCATGAATATGCAAAGCTACTTGCAACAGACATTTTCCCATATTTAACGCGAAATGATTTGGAAGAAATTTCATTCGGCCAATATCAATTAAAACAAGCAAAATGTTATGCTTATGATCACATTGAAGCGAATGAAGGCCAATTTTCCGTGCAGATTTTTGAAGACGATGTGACAAAAAGTTTTTTCCCTCAGCTGATGAACGAAAATACAGATCTTGCGTTACTCATGTCAGAACTACGATCTCGATTCAAGTCAAGACAAAAATACCGCACCTTTGTTCTGATAAATCGTATCGGACATAGAATTGATGCAATTCTCGGGTATTGCTGTGCGTGCAAAGTTGGTCTTCGTACACTAGGGTGCTGTTCGCACGTCATGAGTATGATTTATTATTTAGGATACGCACAATATAATGGCGGAGTTTCCAAAAAAGCTAAACATTTGAGCAATATTTTTTTTACAAATGATGGACAATACAGTGATAGCGAATAAGTTAAAGTAATAAAAAAAATATGATGGTAGTATTTAAATGTTTGTTTATTCTTGATTCTTCGCGTAATTGTGTTCGATTTTAATGCGATGCAATCGATAATCCATCGTATGAACTTCAACAGTGACGACCGGTTCTTGAATCATGCTTATCGGGCGGCTTAAACGAGCAATTTCGATGACACTGAGGGCTTCCAAAACCACAAAACATTCACGGACTTGAAATGCCTCGAAATAAAATTTTTTGAGCAATTCATTCTTTTCCTTATCCCGTGTGTCTATGAGGAATCAAAATATTCCAATATAATAAGAAAAAAAATTCAACGCAATTCTTTTTGGATCAATCTTACCCATTTTGATTTCGGTTAGCGATTGGTTTGACAGTTTTCAATGATTGTCATTTGTTTGATTAATGCGATCTAATAATTGCATTTTGAATGAGTTCTAATAAGTGACCGACGGTTCACAATAGAGTGCGCAGTGTATTCATATGCGAATTAAGGACTTTTATATTTAACACAAACGGAAAATATAATTTGACTATTTCTCATTTTTTTTTGTTCTGCATTTTTGAAAAAATGTGGTGGGTGACGGATTTAAATAATACAATATAAAAAAATAGAGATTGTTGATCTTACTGAAGTAGAAAAAGATCAAAAACAATGCGCAAAATCGCTTCACGCACATCATTCAGAACATCGCACATTTAGAACGTCGCAATATCGATTGTCAATAAACTACGCCACAGTTTAGTGATACGCGCAGTGTTGTTTTGTAAAGCATTGTCGCCGAAGAAAAATTAATTTTTTCTGTTTCATATAAATAAATATTAAAACAATAGTTTGTCAATAATCGTCATTGAATCAAAATGGATGCGTTGCTCGAAGCAACACAATGCATCATTTGTACGGATAATTTGTTCGTACCTGAAGACGAACAGCTTGGACCACCTCGCGTTTTGGGTTGAGGACATATTTTTCACCAGAAGTGCATTGACAACATATTGCGACTCGCAGTGGGAATGTATGTTTTGTTTTGAATATTCTGTGATGGCATATCTCATATTTTCCTTTTATCATTTGTTTTTATTATTCAATAGAAATAAGCGTTGTCCGTTGTGTCGAGCATACATTTGGATATTCAATATCCGACCATTTTTTTTGCCAGGTCTTCAGCGCTTGATTGAAGGTAACAAACGTACAACTTTTTCTATTGAATTATGGCTTTGAGGTAAACCAAATCATTTATAGGTTTGCAACCACGTCGCCAAATTCCACAAAATCCGATTTTAGCTCGTCACGGTCTTCATATGCGCTCTATACCGACAGGCCACGGTCATTTGCCCATCGCACCGAATCAAAATCAAAATCAAAGACAACAAGCACAAAATGAAAATCGCCCGGGTAAGATTTCATTTCTTTTTCATTGAATTCATGGATTTATTTGAAAATTGTTTGGAAACAGTTCGCGATGCTGGTGGAATTTTAAGAAACGTGAATCAACGCGCACCAGTCGGAGCGATCGTTGCACAAAACGTAAATCGGGGTAAGACTTGATTAGTCTTTAATTGAATCGATTGATTTATTTGAAAATTGCTCAAAAACAGTCCGTGAAGCTGCTCCACGTGTAAGAGAGAATCGACACGTTCCAACTGAACCGAATATTGCACAAGCAAGACGTCATCGTTTATATCCGTTGCCGGTGCTCAATCAAAGAATCGAACTTCAAGGAAATCACGACCGCCAACGAAATCAACCACAGCCATTACGTTACGAACGCAGAATGTGTCTGATTTGCGGTCATTTCTTCACTGCCGTTGACAACAACGTGGTATGCGATCCTTGCCTTCGACGACTCGGTTAAATTAACTTCAATTTCATACACATACGAATACATATACGTAATTTACATTCTGAATAAACGAATGAAAATGTAACAAAGAGTCCTTTTGTTTGTTGTTGTGAGTTTTATTTGGTGAATCATACTCAGTTTGTTTTTATTTACACTTGACAGTTGTCACATTGCTTCTGATTCTCATCACACAGGACGTTTTTGTCATTCAGTGGCATTTTATTTCGAAATTCATTTTCGAAAATTGTGAGGTAGAATGTAAGCGGCGAATGCAACAAGCTATTTTGTTTTTGTTAAAGTGTTTGGATACTTGTTTTCAAGTGTTGCATCGCAATAATGACCAATTGATTTCGATTCGGTAACTTTTGTCTAATTTCATCAAAAAAGAAAAAAAAATCAGTTCATTCAACTTGCTTATTAAACATTTTATCGAGATAGCTTATTATTTACGTTCACATTTTTTGATTTAATTAAAATCAAAGTTCATTCTCCAAATATTTGACTGATTTGCAGTTCTTCGATTAAAGTTCAGTTTTTACAATACTTGATTATTTTGCATTTTTGAAAGAGAGTAGAATAAAGTTTTCAGACGACAATAAAGACAATCAGACGTTTCATTTCATTTGAATACCCAACATCAAGATTCTCGGAATCATAATACAATTTTCCATAAAATACATGAACGTATTGTTGTTTTGTTCTGAAAATTCTTTTAAATATCCTAGGCAAAATCTGAATAAAAGCTGAACGCTATGAAAACGGTGCGGAAAAGTTCGTCTTACGGAGGTAACACTATTCGAGTTTTCATTTTACATTTTGTATCAAAGCACCGAACACCCCCTCCCTCCATCGAGCACAAAGTGCAATTTAACCCCCCCAGAATTCAAAACCATGTCTGATGCTCGCACATCTCCCCACTATCGCTCACAACGATAATAATAGCTAAGTTTTTCTTTATAAATTGAATTATTGATTTGATTCACACAGAGTGTGAATTATTGGATTAATTTATTTAACTTTTTCCTACAAATTCTTTCCACGAAAAAACTCCATTCAATTCATTTTCTGATAAGGAGGAAAAATCAAACTTCGATCGATTGAAAAAAAAAGTATTTTTTTTTAATTTATTCTTTGGACTCTATACACTCTAAAAATGTCAGATGACGAAAACACACTGACGCTCAATGTCACACATAAAATGACATTGCCTGCCAAAGGGATATTGCAACTTTTTTGACCAGAAAAAACGCCATCTAACGTCGTGCCCGTAAATTATCTTACTAAACATTTAGATGGTAGAGCTTGAACAAAAGTTCGACACTATGGAAAGAGCTTGATAAACAACTTGGAAAGAGCTTGATAAACTTGATGAAATACATATATTTTATGGTCGTTGATGCACCCCTATGGTGCCTGCTATAAAATCATGCATTGCAGTCATATACAAAAACCCTACTGTATCGAACGCAAATTCAATCTTGTTTTAACAGAAATATTAACGAAAACAAACAAAGTTATTCTGATAGGCGATACGAACATAAACATACAAAAAAAATAATTCTATTAACCAACCCGTGTGCAAATAAAATGACTAACAGTCACTCAGTTGTATGTAACTGTATGTAGTGATACACAACTAAAACTGGCTAATTTGATTGAAATCATGCGTTTTGTATGGAGACAATCACGTTTAGTTATTCTTTCAGTCAGTCGACTAATTTGGGACATTTTGACTAAGAGTGATTTGTGATTAAAGTTAACTGCAGTTGCTTATTTTGTTCGAGACAATCAGTTTTAGTCAGTCAAAATGTCCAAAATTAGTCAACTGTCTAGTCAGCCAAAAATTTTCCACACGGGAATACACCAGTCTGATACAGTCTCTCGGCTGCAGCATTTTAAACAACACTGACTATTTTTGCACATTTTTTTCATTTTTTCATCATATTTCAATATAAACATACATTTTTCGATTTTTGTCTTTTAAATTTTATCAAAATTTTCTAATTTCGCCCGGATTCCGCACGGATTTTACGAAAAATCGGCCGGATTCACCCAAGAACGCTTACATTTTCCTCCTTATTTATTTTTTTGTTTATGATTGTAGAAAAATAAACGCATTTATTCGGAGAAGAGTCCATACACATATTTTCAATTTAATTTTCCTTCATTCCAACCAATACTGAGAGAATATCTTGTTTTCTCCCAAAAATTCTATGCATTTGATAAGGAAAAGTGATCAACAGTCAATATCTCATCATACCATTACTTTTGCTTGTGAACGTTTGATTTAAAAATTTGTTTCAGCTTTGAAATATTGAGAATAATGTTTCAAACATATTCAGGACTCATGTAAACCAAAACCAACTCTCAATGAGATTTCTATCGCACCAAAAAAACAGTAGCTTCGCTTTCCAATTCAACTTCAAATGGTTTTCAGTAAATGAACTAGTCAAAAGTGGACTTTCATTGCATTTAAGAAGAACTTCAATTCTATACAAGAAAAAACAACAAATTCGTTTGTTCGGATTGGATCAAACGAGTGACTATTTTTATTCATGGAACAGCCAATGTCAATTCAATTGGGCATTTGTTCCGTTTGAAACTGAGTTTTGTTGGGTATACTTAAAGCATTGATCGAGACCTTTGACAAAGTATAAGCTTATCATATTTTTATTGCTTTTTCTCAGTCTTTTTGTGATTGCAGCTCATTGTCGCTGTCTGAAACCTTCTCCGAGATCAAATCAAATTGTAAACGTGGCGAATCGAAGTCTAATGTTTGCATTTCATAGTCACAAAACTGATTTGTACGAAATTGATTGTACAAAACAAATCATCGGACAAAAGCCTTTGTTTCTTCAAACCATTTCCTTCCCGTGTACTTTTCGAGTTGCTTTTGATTCTGGTGGACTTCATTTCATCTCAAGTTAAGCCTCAGCGATCTGAACTGTTCGAACACTTTCTCAACATTTGATTCAAGCCTTTCGATGAAAGGTACATTTTTTGTCACAAATGTTCTACACAAGCCAAGTGCTCAGGTAATTAGAGCTAAGGCTGACTGAGTTTATCTTTTATAACATTTATTAAATACGTTAAATGCATCTGTATTTAGCAGAAGTGGAGATGAATTTTTGGGAGAGGAGAAGATATTACTTGAGCATTGACACTCAAACGTTTGTGAAATGAATGGGTTTCGGTTTCATTTCAATTCGCATGTGAAAACCGATCACGTGCAACAAAATGCAATTGAAATGCACAGTGAATGTTCGTCGAATTCTTGTTGCCTTGAAGACATTCGACTCGAGAGAATTGATATGATAATGGACTCAATCCGTCAAATCGCAATGAAGAAAGTATTCAAATCACTGTCATCAAAAATTTACTACAATTTTTCAGCATCTGCATTTCTATATTCATAAAATATTTATTATTTTTATTACATTATTCAGGTCTAGTTCACTTTCTTCGGGAATTTCAATTGAGCTAGGTTTCAATCATTTGAATCGCACTTTCAATGGACAAACAGTGCGTTGATGAAAAACGATGTTTTTTTCTATCGAAATAGTTTGATATACTTCAAAAGTGGCGTTTTTTTTTTCAAATGATTTAATCAGATAAAATAAATGACAAAAAATGCGAAAATTATAAGCATCTTGAAAACAAAACGATTTGAACGTGATCATTTTCAAAAAATGATTCTAATTTGAACACTTGAATTCATCAGTTCAATTGTAAATGAGCTACTTGAATAAAAATAGACCAAAAGTGTAATTTTATCGGCTTTCCAATCAAACATTCCGAAATGTTAGATCGAAATTTGGGCTAAGCCTGTTCAAAATGGTCTATCGATGGAAAATTTATTTTTGGAAACTTCACTGATTAGATACTTGCACTTTCCATTATTTGAAAAGAAAAATACAAAATTCATTGTAAAATACAAAAATGGTCCATCAAAAATTATTTCATTGACAAACTATCGATTCGTGTTGAAAAGAAACTTTTTATACAAAAAACTCATGATCCTATTGATTTCTTGTGTTTTTCGTTAGACATTTTTGTGGACTCGATGAACTTAACGAAAGGAATCACTGAGACAAACACTCAACTCAATGACATGATGGCCATTATTTCCACCGCGAGCCCGTTTACAAAATTTGTGGGTTTCAGTGCTTTCAGTCTTTTCAGTAATAATTTGCCCCTTGAGTACAACTGATATAGAAAAAGAGATTTATTTTTGTTTTCAAAGTAAATATAGCTGAATCATTCAGAATGTCGAAATTCTATGCTGTGAAACGCAGAGCGAGAAAACAGATCGGACGATAATTTCATAATTTTCGGTCATTCAAGAACATGGACTAGAATGGCGACGATCTCACACGTATCGAATTTCATTCCCGAAACCAAAAAATGTCGCCGGAAGTGAAATCAAATATGGCGTCTAAACGAAAACACGTGGTTTTCTGTAGAAAAAAACTTTGATATGGAATTTTCCTTCGGCTTTTTATTAGAAAATTATTTTTATTTCACAATTATTCGCAACACTTTTTTCATAGTTTTCTTGCTTTTAAACCGATTTTACATTTAAATTTATTTCTGTGTCTGTTTTTATTCTATTGAAATACGATTTGCAATGTTTCTTTTCACGCGAAATTGTCCTAACTGTGAGGTCTATACGTTTTCACGTATTACGTAAAAATTGCATATTTTGATTTTGAACAAAAAATTCACGAAATATTCCACTAAATTCACGAAGAAGAAATTATTTTATTTGAATATGCTGAATTTTCGTATGTCAAATGTTTAAAAAATAAAAATCGCAGCGAATAAATAATTGCAAAAATTGAACGGATATAAATATGGACCGATTCTAGTGAGAGACCGACTGCAAATGCCGCGAATCAAAATTTTCCTTATCCATGAATGGAGTGAATAGATGAATTCGCCCTTCGAAGATGAAGGAGGCGAACGAAGCATATTCGAAA